CTTGGGCTTCGTCCTCGCCGCACATCGCCCTGCAACTCCAATTCCTCTCAATTCCTTAGGGAATTATCTCCAATCCCTCGACTTCGTCTTCACTGCACTTCTAACTGCAGCCTCAGTTCCTCAGGGAATTATCGATGGGAATCAAGTCCACTTTGACTCCAGATAAGGGTGGGAGTCTCGTCGGTATTAGTCGTGACCCCTCGTGGTCCGTAACAGTTGGAGGTCACCATTTGTTGTTGTTTGTGAGGATGATCAAAATAAAAAAAATGGGCATTCTATGATGATGGTCTAAATTCAGTTTTTATTCTCTTCATCCAGAATATTACGTTGTCTTCACACAGCTGCACTCACACACTCTCCCGTAGAATCTTACATACTAACACTATTCTTAGCTCTGTTATCTATATTTACCACTACCCTTCACATATGATTGGATGTTTACCTCTTATTTACATTCTTTTCCATGTTGCCAGGTTGCACAGCCTTGCTGCATCCTCCGACACTTGGGGCTCCTTTCCTGCAGACCTGTCCATGGGAACAAGTGTCCCAGTTTTCCTCTGCCCTGGGGGCTCTGGCCAATGCTGTCAGTGTATCCAGGGAAGGAGTTCAATCTCCCTGAGTCAAATGCCCTCATCAGGATACTTTGCTGTGTCCCTGAGGTTTCCTTCCAAGCTTGGAGTTTCCATCCAGGATGAACACCTTCCTGTTATTTTTGTGTTATCTGAAAGCCCAAGGGAGAAGCACAGAATTCAACAATGTAGAAAATGCTGTTGGGTTGGTGAAATGAGCCAGGAGAAAGGGACAGACATTTGATGGTCTATGAATCATAGAAACAAAGAATAGATTGGGTTGGAAAAGACCTCCAAGATCATCAAGTCCAACCCCTGATCCAACTCCAATTACTATATCATGGCACTAAGGGTCACATCCAATCTCTTTTTAAAAATCTCCAGGGATGATGAATCCACCACCTCTCTGGGTAGGCCGTTCCAATGCCTGATTACCCTCTCCTTAAAGAATTTTTTCCTAACATCTAACCTAAACCTCCCCTGGCAGAGCTTGAGCCCATGTCCCCTTGTCCTATTGTTGGTTGCCTGGGAGAAGAGACCAACCCCCACCTGGCTATAACCTCCCTTCAGGTAGTTGAAGAGAGTGATGAGGTCACCTCTAAGCCTTCTCTTCTCCAGACTAAACAATCCCAGCTCCCTCAGCCTCTCCTCA